TTTTAAGTGGGACGCTTTTATTCAGTTTTTCTTCTTTCTGTTCCCTCCTGGGTTAGTGATTCTGTGCTTACCTTTCCCCAGCATCTGAGGACCCCCTTCTCTAAACCTACCACCTACAGGTTTTCTGTTCCAATCCTGGGGATATTGCGACTTACTTTATGACTTGATTAATAACCACAATTTATCTCTTCCTTTTCCTTCCTTCACTTGTAGTTTATTAAAAATTCTAACCTCAGCTCCCACTCAGATGGTTAGTTAGTTTGGTTTCTTTTTATAAGTGGGGGTATGAGCTTGTAAGAGATGCTAGACCAGATCCCCCTTCTTTAGTGGAATAATTTTGTTTTCTTTGCCCCGCTAAAACCAAACTACAAACTTCCACAGCTTCCATCCAGAATGGGTGCATAGCAGAGCCCAGTGATTTGTTGCTTTTCTGTTTCTGGTTCATGGAGAGATTTATTTTACTTTTTGAGGTTTATAAATACCTTTAATTTTTATGTCTTTCTGTTTTATCTATTCTTTCTTCTGCATTAGGGTTGAAGGAGGTGTGTCACTTACATAGGTAAAATTATATTCTAAAAAGAGTTCTCTGGTTTTGTAAAACAATTTGAACGGCATGTCTGGTAGGCAGGGAGAGAGATAACAAGGTTATTTCATAGTTCAGATGAGGTGATATTGACTAGGACGTGAGGGATTACAGTGGAAATAAGGGAAATATGTTCATGCAACTGGCTGCTGCTAAAAACCTTACAAGATCCATCGAAGATGGAGGTGGGGCAGTGTTGTCCTCCAGGTGTCCCTATGTCAGCATTATGTGTTCTCACTAGAGTTTTTGAGGTGTTCCCCTTCTCATTTTGATCTTATTCCTTTGCTCCATCTTTGTCCATCACTTTTTACTTGAAAATATACCTTCTGCACCTATCCTCTTGGCTAGTGATTTTTCTACCTCTCATCTCCTTTCACAGTCCTCACAGGGTCAGTGCAGTCCAGGGAGGGTGTTCAGGCCTCTTGCAAGAGGACCCCAAGGGTGGCTACTAAATCTATTCTCCTGGGATTAGCAGGAGTATGGGATTATGTATACCCCACCTGGTCCACCCAGCTCCCCTACTGTCAGAAGTGGACTTCTGAACTAATGTTGAGGGCAGAGGTGGCTCAAGGAAACACGAAGGCTCCTCCATCCATTCTCTTTCTAGATACAGAGAGCCTTCTATCTGGGAAGTTTGTAATGGAGCAATCTCATTCAGTGTGATAATTTATTTTATTTTTATTATATATACATATTTACATTATTCTTCCTTTTTGTATAATATATGCTTTCTCCTTTTCAATATAGTCCCCATAAAATTACCACCACCAATTCACCTGTGCACCAATACCATAGTCCCTTGTGCTCGCCCCCTCCCCTGCAGAATGTCTGATTTATAGGTGCCTGTTAATTTTTTTTTAAGTTTTTTTTTATTTTATTTATACAAGAACTGGGGTATAGGTCAGAGGTGCGGGAGGGTGAGAGAATTCACCAGAGAGAGCAGGGAGCAGAACTGGCAGAGGGACTGAAGACTCTGCTGAGGGGAGCATGGGTGAGGCAGGAGAGGTCTGCCATGCCATGTGGGTTTCTCCCTGTCCAGCCTGGGATCGATCTCATGCTGCAGAGGCTGCGGACAGCTTCACGTCACTGTGCTCAATCTACTACGCCACCAGGGAGGCCATAATTTTGTTTTTTAATTTATTATAATTATTTTTCCCTGGTCCCTTATTTGGTTCCCCTACATTTGTCCTATAAGTGAAACCATCTGATATTTTTCTTTTTTTTTTTTTCTGGCTCATTTCACTGAGCATAATCCATTCCAGCTTCACCCATGTTGCTGAAAATGGCACTTTATCTTTTTTGATTGCTGTAGGGTAAGGAAAAATGTCAGGCTTTTCTGCCCTCCTGCCATCAGGAGAGAAGATGGATCCTTGCGGTTCTGAATGCATGCCTGATGGCGGGCACCTAGAGTAGGGTGTGGGCATAGGTAGATGGGATTCACCTGGGCTGAGACTTCTTTTTTTAAGGGCGGCGTCATGGGGGTGCCAGTAGAAGCCGAGAAGAAGCCAAGAAGGAACAGAAGCCAAGAGAGAAGCAGAGAACACTGGCGAGCCCAGATAGAGTGAAGACTTGCTGGGGGCTGGGAGGCCTGCCAGACTCCCGGCCCCCCAGCACCCCTGCCTGCTGTGTACCTGGTAAATCCTAATAAAAGACCTGCAAAAACCACTGAGGATTCTTACTCCTCCTTTACCCGGTCTGGTGGATCATAGAAAACCTGCTCTGTGTCCAGTCCTGCCTTTACAATTGCTGAGTAATATTCCACTGTGTATATATACCATATTATGATCCAGTTACCTGTTTTTGGCCATTTGGGTTGATTTTATATCTTACCTATTGTAAATTGTGCTGCAGTAAGCATAGGGGTGCAGAGGTGGCTCAAGGGTGTCTCCTCCTTCACGGAGGTCTCGTCCCTTGGCTCCCAGACCTTGTCCACCTCCTGTGCTGTATGACGCCTCCAGCATTGTCACAGGCTCAGTATGCTACTCCTCAGTCCTTCCTGAGGTCTTCAGAGGGCTCCACACCCATCTGCATCGGTCATCCTGCTGACTATGCCAATTGTAGTGGCAGAAAGGGCACAGAGCAGGTTTTCTGTGACCCCAGCAGACGGGGTAACGAGAAAGGAGTCCTGGAGCCCTCGGTGGCTTTTGCAGGCTTTTATTGGGTTTAGTAGGTAGGGGTGCTGGGAGGCTGGGAGGCTGGCAGGCCTCCCAGCCCCTAGTGAGTCTTCACTCTTTCTGGGTTCTCTGGCATTCTCTCGTGGCCTTGTTTTCTCTCTTCTCATGGTTCTGCTGTGCCTTCTTGTTCTCTTGCTTTGCTCTTCTGCTGGCATCCCCATGAACACCACCTTTATAAGCCCAGTCTCAGCCCAGGGGTATGTACTTACATATGCCCACACCCTACTCCAGGTGTCCGCCATCAGGCATGCATTCAGGACCGCAGATCTATCATCAATCCTAATGGCGGGAGGGCAGAAAAGCCTGATAAACATTTACTGACCCTACAATAGATGGTTGGACTTCTTTAATAATGCTTGCTCATTGGGACAGTAAGAAACTTGATAAATATAAGCATGAATAGCATAGAAAAGTAGGTGCTTTAAAAATATTGAGTAAATGAGAGAAAAATGTAACAAATAACTTATTTCATCTATGTCCCTCCCAGCCCCTCACCCACACATCACTCCTTGTGGCTGTGAATATACTTGAGATTTTATGTATAATTTTGACAATTTTTGGTGCAAATATTAGAATGCACATCATTTTTAACCTTCAAATCCTAGCTAAATTGGACACTACTAAGCTTGATTACTGCCAGTGTGGGTTAGACTTACAGGGAGAAAATTAAATAAGGGAAATGTCATTTATGTATAAATAATATCAGTCCTATGAAAAGAATGCTTTTTATTAGATGAGTCAATGAGAGTGTAACTGAATTCAGCTCCCCTGGGGCCTCTAGACAGAAAAGATGTCTCTGTCCCTGGGCATCCCATGAACCAGGTCACACCTGGAAATACTATCAGAGATAAAGGGTTAATGAATATGAACAGATATGTGATTAGCTGTAGCTGAGAATAGTAAGACATGGCTGCTTTAAATTTTAATCTTTAAAATTGCTAAATTAAACAAGAAATTCTGTTGTTCAGGTGATTTTTCTGGAAAACTATTTCTTCCTTAATCATTTTATTTTCTTGCCCATGTAGCTAATAGTTCCATTTATTAACGACTCTCCCTAAAGGATCAGTTTCATCATTGGCAGCTTTACAGAGGGTTATATTGCTTATGTACTTCTCAGCATTGTCAATCCACAGACTATGATAATTGGCATCACCAAATACTGGCCCCAGTTTGAAGTAATTTACAATCTCATGTTTCCAATTGGTGGTTTTTTATTTTACATTTTAAAAGGACAAGGTTTATTAGGAAAAGGAGAAAGAAAAAGAGAGGCACTTTGTAGGGTAAAGAAAATGTCAGGCTTTTCTGCCCTCCTGCCATCAGGATAGATGATGGATCCTTGCGGTCCTGAATGCATGCCTGATGGCGGGCACCTGGAGTAGGGTGTGGGCGTAGGTAGATGAGATTCACCTGGGCTAAGACTGCTTTTAAGGGCGGCGTCACGGGGACGCCAGCAGAAGCCAAGAAGCAGCAGAATGAATGGAAGAGCAGAGAAACAGAGAGAACGCCAGAGAGCCCAGATGGAGTGAAAACTTGCTGGGGCCTGGGAGGCCTGCCAGCCTCCCGGCCCCCCAGCACCCTTGCCTGCTGTGTACCAGGTAAATTCCGATAAAAACCTGCAAAACCACTGAGGACTTCTGACTCCTCCTTTACCCGGTCTGCATGGGATCCTAGAAAACCTGCACTGTGTCCATTCCTGTCCCTACACACTTGCATAATCACAGGCAGGCAGGCGAGCTGCCCAATGTGTGATTTTTAAGGAAAAGCTTGCCAAAGTGCTAAAAACTTTTCATGAATCTTGTGCTTTTCAACAAAAGAAACGATACATTCTAACTTTATTATAGTGAAATAAATACAGCATGAGCTGTGGGACAACATCAGTGTCCAGCCCCAGAATGCTGCTTATGGGCAGTGCAAAAGGCTGCAAGTGGTGGGCATTTTACCATCCGCCACCAGTAACCCCTCTGGGGCTCAGGCTCCAGGCAGAGGCCAGCAGTGAGGATGACAGTGGTTGCCCTACTACATTGTCCTGGCAGCCCTTGGTTCAGAGCTGCAGGGAGGAGCAAGGTCCAGCCCCAGCACTGTGGCTCCTCCAGCTGCAGGCAGTAGACAGGCCCAGGCATTTGGCACCTGGGTTGCGGAATGGACCAATCAGGTATGAGCTGTGAGCTCATTGGTAAATGGTCCAATCAGCCAGAGGATTGAAAACAGACCCATCAGACTCAAGGTCAGGGCAGGAGCCAGGTTGGGGCGCTCAGACCTTCAAACTCTGAGCTTGAGAACGACTCTGTTCCTGGCTTCTGAAAAAGGGGAAGCATCCTCCCACTGACTGCCAGAGGAGTCAGAGAAGCTGAAGAGCTTTGCAGAGGCCTAGCCTGCCACACCTTCCTACAGCCTGTCTCTGACACTGCCTGAAAGGTGAATCGGAGGCCCCACGCCTGGTGTCTCAAGCTGTTTGTTGTTGGTGAGGGCCAAAAACTCACAAAGAGCTGTTGACACGGTATTTCTGACTCTGCTGCCTACTGACCAGCACTGCTGCCCAGTGCTTCCCAGCACTGCTGATGGGTGACTGGTACTCAGTCCAGGTCATTCCAGAGCTGTTAATCATCTGGCACCATGGCCTGGTGCTGCTGCCTCCATTGCTGCCTGGTCCAGCATCTGGTATTGTCCATCCCACGGCTGCGGCTGCTGTGATGTCATCTCGGTGGCCCCACCTGTGAGCACCTCTAGCTCCTTGCTGGTGGCCATGAGTTCCAGGCCCTCACTGATGGGCCAGCACCATTTTGGATGAGCAGCCTCTTGTTTGGGACTTTTGTACACTGGACACTCTCTGAGGTGCAATAGCTGACCACTTGTGGCCTTAAGAACTATTTGTTTTCCTAGTTTGTTAAATAACCCCTGTTAGTGTTGTCTGAATCTGCATGGTCTTGCAATTGTGCTCTCAGGTGAGAACCCACAGACAGTGACCAGTTGTCCCCCTGGCCATTGTCCTTTTATGACTATAGCCACCTTATAGCACTGCTTCTTTTCTCTTTTGGTTGTTGTAAACCTTGAAATTCCCTCCAGTTAGCCATGGGGTGACATTGTCCAATTTCTTTTCAGCAGGTGGATGACACAAGAGTTGGAAGACTTCCCTTTCCTTCCCTTAAGGGCTGATCTACAAACGGTATGATTACTTGTGGGATGTTGAGAAACCCTGTGTTTGCTTTTGGGTAACTTTAATCAATAGTGACAAAATTCATGTCCGATACAAGGTTTTGAGAACTGAGAAGATACATTGTTTATAGGGAACTTGTTTGCTCCTCAATAGGCTTGTGTTCAAGTGGATGTATTTCATCAGCTTACTGTGATAGCAAAGTGTGATTTGGCTGTACGTGGCTGGCCTCTCTGGAGCTTCATCCAGGCTCTATTAGCAGTTTCTCCTGGAGGGTTCTCAGCTCCTGGATCTTGGATTTCAGGTACCCAAATTCATGTCAAAAAAAGGGGTTTAAGAAATTTGGAGAGTGTTCATTTATGGTGAGGAACCTGGGACTGGGATATCATTTTATGTCTTCGCTGGTGGTTACTTCCTGATTAGAGTTTATGTCAGCTGTGTTTCTCCAGAGAGAAGATGTCTACTTAGAGCTCTCAAAACCTCTTCTGGTGGTGCTGCAGCTTGAAATGTTTTTTAAGTTGATTCATGAGAGTAAGGGAGAGTGAGAAGAAGCTCTCAGGGGTACTGAACGTTGGATTCTGGAAAATGTCCTCAGCCATGAAGGCAACTTTGCACAGCTGCAACTTAGCTAGCTGTTAATTATCCATCTCAAGGTAGCAGGAGCAAAGGGTTTTGGAGGAAGTTCCTAAACCCCCTTAATGACCCACTTTTGTCCCTACTTACTCCATGAAGCTGGAGATCTTCCAAAATTAGACGAAAGTTTAAAAGTGTATATTCTGTTGAGGTGACACTCTGAATTTCATTCCCAATAAATTAGAATCACCTTAGTGGTCAAATATAAATATGGAATGGCAGTCTTGCTCTTCAAACTTTAATATAGGGGTTGATGCAGGGAGGGAGTTCAGAGTAGCTCTGGGAATGTGAAGACAGAGGATGGAGGAAGCTGAAGAGAAACCGCATATCTGAAGTGATGATGTAGAGAAACATTTATGGTTCATCATGTACAGGTGCATGCTTTAGTACTTGATTCTGTTCAATCCTCTTAATAATACATAAAGTAGGGATTATTCATTCCCCTCCTATGGATGAGGAAATAGACTTCAGACTGATGATGATACTAGAGGTGATACTGCCTCCTTTGCTAAATCTGTCTTTTAATCATTGCCATTCATCTCTCTTCCACCCTCTGGCATTCCCTATCCATAAATTACTTTCCCTAAAGCATCATTGTACTATGTATTTATTTTTGTTTTTCCTTCCCCCACCCCTCCAAGGTCCTAATGTCATTTTGATTAATTGCTGTATGCTTAGAACTTAGAGCAAAAAAGGACTAAATATTCCCTTGTACATTTGTGTGTGTGTATATATGTATTTATCTTTATTTCCATATCTAGAGGTATAAATACTATATCTTCATCTCCAGAACATTATTCTTTTATATATTGTATAATTTTTAATTAAAATTTTTATTTTAATTTTGGGGTTACATTTTTATTCCATATGTGTACATGTTCCACTCACCCTCCACCAAACAAGAATGCTAATACCCTATCTACTCCCCTCCCCCTCTTCTACCCCCTTTCCCTCTTCTACTCCCTCCCCCTGTTCCTTCACTTTCTGACTTAATTCACTTAACATAATTATCTCATGGTCCAATCATTTTGTCCCAAAGGCACTATTTCCTCTTTAATAGCTGTGTAGGCTTGAATGACAGATAGTATCCCTTAGTGTCATTTTGGGTTTGGTAGTTGATTCATGAGTTCATGCCTTAAAATATCCTTTCTTGAATTAGTCACTACAATTTTGTTTTTTCACAGCAAAGTGAATGCAGCAGTTATCAGAGTCAGCTTGCTTTTACCGAGATATTCAGTTAGCAGCTTCTATTGTCTCACCTAATCTAACTTTAAAACTTGATTTGGATGTGGTGACTGTTTTTTGAGGTCTTGATCAAATAATTGGTATGTTCCCATGATCAGATGTTCCCAATAATGACAAGCAGTGGTGTTTGTAGCATCCCTGCCAGGGTCTCCCTTGGGCCTCCTCTCTCTTTATCCCCTTACCAGTGAGTCTCAGAACAACTCCTCAGCTCCGCCATGCCAGAACTCTTACTCTGTAGCCATCAGAATTAGGGGAAACCCAACAAGTCTTCAAGAAAAAGGTGCTTTAAACAGAGGGGAGAAGGGTAAGGGAATAAGGACCCCATAGGCCTATTGTGTTTCTCATCTCTAGGTAGCTTACTTGGAGGAAATAAATGCTGAGAGCCAGTTTGTACTTCAAACGCAATGCAATAAAGCTACAAATTTCAATTCTTACTTTTTCATTTCTTCCCCTTTTTCTCCCCTCTCTTCTACCCTTTTTATTATTAAATTCATTTGATATTCACGAGGTCCAAGAAGAGTTATTTATTTTTTAATGTTTTTTAAAAAGCAGAGGTCTAGATAATATATTGACATTATCATTTTCTCCTCAATACAGACTGACTGTCTATTGACATATAATCCTGTCATTTATTAATGGATTCATTTGTTTATTTCATTTATTGAGATATACTTTGTTCAAGTCCTAGAGTGTCAAAAGAATGAAAACAATGATTAGTGTTTAGTGAGTGTTTTTAATTACCAGTCTCTATGCTAAAAGTGTTTAATACACTAAAGACATTCACTTAACTGTCCCAGCAGCTAAATTATTACTGCCTGTTTTCCACATGGAAATTGAGGTTTAAAGGATATAAATAACTTGTTCAAGGTCAGCAGAGTCAGAGTTTACATATAGCCATTTGATAATAAACCCTAGTCCTGCCCTATGCTATCCTCTTAGTAGGCCAGTGTTCTTAAACTTCAACTGCATTAAAATTGCCGGGAGATTTTTTTAAACTATATTTTCTGGTTCTAAATATATACAAAAAATATAGTCTTCTAAATCTCCTAGTCGACTTCTGCTCAAACTAGGGTCAGTCTAGCTATTCTGGAACATCATTCTCAATCTTGAAAACAGATAGGAAAAACAGCAGCTGTACAGAGACTGTTTATTTAATCCCTCATGTAAACACAGTGATGGTGACAGATCATCACTTGGCCTGTCAACATGATTGTGTTCCAGCAGGGGCCTTGTCCTCATCTGAGCCCACTGACCTTTTCCTGTGTCTGCAAACAGTGGCAATGAGGAAACAGAAGGCGCATATGAATGAGGAAGTGATATTGCGTTGCAAAACATGGATAAAACAATTGGCATTGCAATTCCCAGGACACACACACCCCACTGGATTGCAGAGGTACACACTTTAGAAGGAGGTTTCTGTTCTCTGGCTGTGAGGGTATTCACATTTTGCAGCTTTGGATTTGTCCTGACTCTAAGGAAGCTATTTACAGTTTTTTCACAGCGGGACGATTTTATGAGCCAACCCTCTCATTTTTATGAGGGTCCCTGGGGTAAAGCAGTTATACAATTTTACACCAGCACACGGACTTCCGTGAAGTGCAAACAATATAAAGTAGGCCATCCAGACCAGGAAAGCAGGTAATGCCAGGCAGTCGTGATTTAAGTTCAGTTCAGTGGTGACCTGGCTTATTACGATAAGATAAAGGAATGAATAGAGTCTTCGCAGGGAGGAAGAGCAAGTGAGTGGGAAATAAATAATTCATTGGGCTCCTTCCATAAGCCATAAGTTGAAGGAAGAGAATGCCTGTTAACAAAAAAAGACCCAAATTTCAAATGAATGATGTTTTTTCAAATTAATTTCATATTTGTTTGTTGAAGGATATGACACCACCTTCTACCAAGTCTGGTCAGTATTCCATCAGAACACAGAAGGACTTTCAGATATTACCATGGCTTTCTATGACAAACCAACTTTCCCAGTGAAACTTAAGAAACTGGGTGTGCTTGTATTTATAAATGAGCTTGCTAAGCTTTAACTTCATAAGATAGGGTTAATTATGAACTAGACTATGGATCTTAAATCTATTAGAAGACTAAATAGCTGGTGACTGCCTCGATCAGTCAGCTTTCAGGAAATGAAACAGGACTTATTTACATTTAGAGCAATGGCCAGCTTCTTAATCACCTCAAAGCATTTAAAAATTAACTTTACTACTACCAGCTCAAGAGGCACAGTGAACCCTGGGAGGGCCTTCGCTGCTCTGTCTCCTCCTTCTTGAGCTGACTATTCACTATTTAGCTTGTGTTTTTTTGCCTGAGTCTGTTTGCAAAACCCTGGAAAGCTGCTTTCTGTGTCAGTTTTGCTAAATGATTGGTGGTTTATTTGGCAAGTCTCCTGACAACAATCTCTGAAATCTCACCAGAGTTGCTAACGGTCACCAGGACATCTAAGTGTATGTGCATCATCCTGGTAAACTCTTCAATATGAAATGTTTCAGCTAAACTGGTTGCATATGAAAGGTTATTATGGATTATGCATGCTGGACGAGAGCTATTTGTTCTCACAGGCTGTGTGGTCACTTTTAAATTAACTCCAGTAATGATTAGATAAATGTTAGGTTAGAAATTGCTAGTGAGTCAATAAAAAGAATCAGAGCAGTTAGAATAATAGATACATGCTAGATGCAGCTTTGGTCACATTTTTAACACAAGCTACCATTCAACTAAAAATTCTTATAATTTAGATGTTTGATGAACTCAACAGACAGCAGTATGATTTACTAGTGGCATGTGAGTAATAGTAATACCTTTCCTGCCTTACTCAAAGGTTTGTGGTAAAGGGTCAGATTTTTGTCAACCAAAAGGAACTCTAAAAACATAAGATATTTTAACATCCCATTGCTTAATATTTCAACATCATGTTTGCTGATTACTTGTGTTTTCTTTAAAAAGTTGAAATGATATAAAATGCTATCCCTTTAAAATACTGTTTTTATATAATAGGCTACAATGTAAAATGTAAAAATATTAAAGAAAATGGTTTCCTGAAGGAATTATTGGAAAAAAGGGACCTATTTGCAGTGTTATTAAGAATGTCCTTTTAGTTATAGAGGAAAGTAAAATGCCTGTACTTA